TGGTTTGGTTTTATATGTATTACCACATTTTGTTTATCTATTCATTAGCTGGAGGAGCTCTGGTAGCGTAGTGCCTAAGGCACTTGACTGCTAACCAGAAGGCTGGCGGTTCAAACCCACCAGCCACTCCTCGGAAGGAAGGTTGTGCAATCTACTTCTGTAGTGACACTGCCTCGGAAACCCAAGGAGGGGTCACTATGAGTCTGAGTCAGGTCTGACTCGACGGCACATAACAACAACAACATTCAGTATATATTCTTAGATGGCAGAGCTACATCATCTTGCAATGGTGGGTATCCTGCAGACTACACACACTAAAGCAATAAAGCATTCTATTAGATGCATGATTAAATTGCCTTTGACTGGGTCTGATGAGAATTTAATAAATGAAGGAAAGGAGACTATTTGTACACATCCCAAGACTTTACTATTCTGAGTTAATGTGTGGGAGCATGAGACTCAACCCATTTTAGCACACAGAAAAAGAAAAAGCTCGGTGGTATCAAATTCACATTATTTTGATACTACTGATATTATAAAGGGGAGCTCTGGTGGCATAGTGCCTAAGGCGTTTGACTGCTAAACAGAAGGCTGGCAGTTCAAACCTACCAGCCATTCCTGGGAAGGAAGATTGGGCAATCTACTTCCGTAGAGATACCACCTCGGAAACCCAAGGAGGGGTTGCTATGAGTTGGATTCGACTCGACGGCAGTGAGTCACAATAAATAAATTCCCAAATACCTTTGTACCAAATCCGATTGATTTTTCTGGGATGTTTCTTGAATTTATCTCTTTTCATTTTCATTTCAACTACCCTTTTTCAAAGATTTTCTTTTCCATTCCTTACCACTTACCATATCTTGATACTATACTTCATGCCTAACCTGTGACAATTATATCCTAACTTGTCCCCTAGGATCAAATCTCACTATAACTTTAAAAACCCTGAGCTAAGTGATCAAAACAGTTTAGTCATGCAATACACAAATATTAAACAATGAATGAATCTCTTCTCAAAAATTCCTGATTCTCCAATACCCTATTTTCCAGTCCTATCGACCACCACCCCCTACATCCTTCCACTCCAATCTATCCTACTCATAGTATCCTGAACGTATCTTGCTTATTTCTTACTATCCCCATCCTCCATAATTAAAGCATTATCCCCTTTCAACTCTGATTACTCAAATTCTTCATTAAACTTTCTTTGCTCACCTTAATTCAAAGTCATACCTTTCTTCTTTGATTAAGTATCTTATTCTTAGCACTAAACCATAGTTGTCATAGAGTTGACCCAGTGGCAGCCTCATGGGTGGCAGAGCAGAACTGTGCTCCACAGGGTTGTCAATGGCTGATTTTTCAGAAGTAGATTGTCAGGCCTTTCTTCCAAGGCACCTCTGAGTGAACTCTAACCTCCAACCTTTTGGTTAGCAGCTAAGCATGTTAACTGTTTAAACTGCCCAGGGGCTGTGTATATATCTATTTATTCCGTGGCACCTATGAGTGAGTTCAAACCTTCAACCTTTCAGTTACTATTCAAGTGCTTAAAACCTAAAACCTGTTTGGTCTCAGATGTTAGATTATACTCCAAAATGAAACTCACTGCCATCAAGTTGATTTCCACTCACAGCAACCCCACTAGGTTTCCAAGACTAAATCTTTACGGAAGCAGATCACCTCATCTTCCTTCCACAGTGCGGCTGGTGGGTTCAAACCACCAACCTTTTGGTTAGCAGCCAAATTCCTTAACCATTACACCACCAGAGTTCCTTAAATAATGGTACAGTAGGTGAATAATAAATATTTGATTATCTCAATTAAAGCTGCAGCAAGTTTTGGCAAATACAAATATAATCCTTATGTAAGAATTTATTTACAACTAGAAACAGCATCCCCAGTCTAGTCATCTTTATTCAAGCACCAGAGATTACAGAAGGCTAACAAAATTAAAGAAACGCCCCCTCCCAACACACACACCATATTTGGATCAAACTGACACTCACATATGCTGGGATTTCTGAACTATCTGGCCAGGCATGTTCCACCCATGCCCCAACTGGTACTACGGCCTGGTTCCTCTCAGCCAGCACTGCCAACACATCCTTGCTCTTCAGAGGGTTTAATGCCAGGGGTAGCCTTGAGGTATTTCCAGGCTTCTTGAGGGGAGCCATCCTTGCTGGCATCTGTGACTCCTGGTTGAGAGAAAGGGAAAGCAAATCACCGCCTTAAAAGACCTACCTCCTGACACATGAGCTACAAAGCCCAGAAAGGTGAGAAGCCCTTAGGGAGGCAGAGGCCTGGCAGAGAGTCAAAAACAAATATTCTAGAGTAAAAGGGAGAAAAGAGGGAAGAAAGGAAGAAAAGTTTTGTAATGGGTAGAAACAAGGAGAATTAAAGATTGACTCCTGGAAGTAATGGAAATGTTTGAGAGACCCGGAATTCAGACAGTGGTGGGCACAGCGAGGTGGGAAAGGGAGAAACGCCACTAAGAGCCGGAGGGAAGGGAGGTAAAAATGGGAACCTGATTTGAAATAACTGGTAACCGGTTATAGCAGGAAAAGCTGAGCGGAGGGAAGTCCAACGCCAGATAAAATCTGCTTTTGAGGACCCGGGGGTCCCACTCCCTTGACAGCGCTGGCCGGGTCCCTGTCAGCAGCTCGCCAAACACTTAAACTGCTTGGGCACTAACGAAACCGCCTCTTAACAAACCGCCACTTATCAGCAGACCCGACGTGCCCCGCCCCCTCTGTGGCCTTTGCCCGCCCCTTTCAAGCCCTACTTCTTCTCCCGGGCTGCGGCGGTATCAGGGGCGGGATCTCCGGCGCCTGTAGCTAGTCACAGCCGCTTCCTGTGAGCCGCTTCCTGAGAGGGCGGGAGTTCCGAAGGTGTAGAAAGTGGGGCGGGAGCTAGTTGTGACCTGGGCTGCTGGGTAATGGGTGAGCTGACTGTAGCGAGGTGGCCCTATCACTGAGAGAATCCTAGGACTGAGAAGATTTAAAACCCTTCAGGAAAACAGATTCTTTCGACTGACGATCTGATTCTGACTGGGCGGGCCAGAGGTCCAACAAGAGGGCAGCAAGGGAAAATAATGGAAGAGAAAGGCTGATCTGTTAGGGCTTCCTTGAGGAACAGAGGAAGCCAACAATAAATATGTTGATCCTTTTTACAACTCATTTTGTTTTCAGGGTCACTTCACACACATATTTGAACACAAAAGCTTCTCCACTTGAAGACCTACTGTAATCCCTTTGCTTAGAAAATTCTGGGTCTGTTGCCAAAATGACAAAACAATGTAGACACACCCAGGTGAAGAGTAAGAACCACAGCTTTTAATAACTTTGTGCACAAACTGAGATAGAGAGGGAGGTCCTTCAGACTCTGTCTGCCTTTAAGCGCTAAGCTTCTTTTATAGGTGAGGATTATATCATCATGTCACTCATACAATATTACAGGTTAAGCATAAGCAGTGAGGGATACAAAGATGGTGACCTTTAGCATGTCTCATTATATTAAATCTCCACTCAGAAGTGTGTGATTTACTATGCTAAAATCCCCTTTTACCTAGATTTAGGCTGTTGCCGGGTCAGCCAACTGGTAATGGTGAATGACTTTCCTCCAGCTTTTGCAAACCTGGCCATCTGGTTTTTCTTAAAAGTTACATTTTTACTCCCCTTATTGGGAGGAACTCTCCAAAGAGAGTTTAATGAAATGCTGCACATCTACACGATGAACACTGTGCAGTGTTAGGGAAATGCTGTGCATCAATTCTATAACACTTCATTATAATATATATAATAAATGTCAACTACCCATTTGTCCATTTAACATACATTATTGGAAGGTTTTCGTGTATCAGCGAGTCAGAATTGACTCCACGGCAAATGAGTTTAAAAAATAAAAAACACTTTTAGGCATTAGGGATGTATTGTTGTTGTTAGGTGCTGGTGAAATCTGCTCTGACTCTTAGCAACTGTATATACAACAGAAGGGAACACTGCCCACTCCTGCACCATCCTCACAATCTTTGCTATGCTTAAGCCCATCATTGCAGCCATGAGTCCGTCCATCTCTTTGAGGGTCTTCCCCTTTTTCATTGACCCTCCACCTTACCAAGTATGATATACTTCTTCAGACAATGATCCTGTTGTAGGAAAACAAAGTCATTACCCCCTGTTGCAAAGAGCCAATAATCACCACAGGTTGAAGAGACAAAGCAAAAGGTTTATTGAGTATCAGTACCCAAGGAGACAGTGAGAATGAGAATCCTTCTCCAAAATGTCTGTCTCCCTGAGCTGGGGAATGGTTGTTGTTGTTGTTATATGCCACCGAGTCGGCCCGGACTCATAGTGACCCCTCCTTGGGTTTCCGAGGCAGTATCACTACGGAAGTAGGATTGCCCAACCTTCCTTCCCAGGAGTGGCTGGTGGGTTTGAACC